CTGTAGATACACAAGTCCTGTTAGCACCAACTGCTTTGAAAATGTACACCCTTCTCAAAAACACAGAAGATTAATACACCATTTTATCTGTGTTTTATGAAATCAGACTTGAAAGATTACCTAGAAAGAATAATTAGGAAGATTTTATTAAAGGAAAACTGTTTATCTGTTGCAACATACCAATTTTGTTCATAAAGCATCCTTTTTGTATCTGCTAACACAGCTACTATTCAGTGTCATGGGCAATCTTCCTATTTTGTACTCTTCTAGGCCTAACCACCTACACATTCTTCTTAGGATAGCAGAATACTCCTTAGGACCAACAATGTGCTTTAAAAATGAATAGATTAACCTAATGAATAAATCTTACCTAACACGACAAACAACCTTACAGGCTACATTTATTTTACACTGGTCTGGTGTGTACTGAAAAACATATACAAATATATTTGCTCCCTTTTATGCATGCCTGTGCTTTAGGGTACGTGTTGTTGTTTTAAAGGAAGCTCCAAAAAGGAGCAGGGAATTAGTGTTTTATAAAAGCACACTTGAAAAATTTGCAAGATAGAAAATATCTCCAAATAATTTGAGGCATGTCCACTCCTAAAAATAACTAAATATGTCTTTCAGGGGCTTCTATGATGTGAGCCAGAGTGAACTACCTAATTGCTTTAAAGCTTTAATAAATTTGAAAGATTTATATTTATAGAAACATTTAGGTTATAGAGGTATCACATCATTAATAAGTGTATAGTTTCTAGACACGTTTCTAATAATATTTTCATAACAGAATTTAATTTTACTTGCTAGCACATCTTACTCTTGTGGGATATTGCTTCAAACATATATATTCACTTTGATATGTTATTAAATATGTTAATCTCTTTAATATGTGGTCTGATGCAAAAAGACCTCCAATATTTCTATGAGCATTAAAAAACCGAAAAGCCTTAGAAATTGCTAGTACTTTACAATGAAGAAAACAGCTATGTGCATCAAAGATATAACCTGCATTAGATGGACAGTTCCCATTTCAGTTATTTATATGCATATGAGCACACATGTAGCACCCTTTGGTATAATTCAAGCACCTTGTTCACAGAGGAATTTAAAAGAAAAATCTCTAACCAGTTTTCTTCTTGATTTGCAGTGCTAAAGAATGGATTTTAAAATTGCTAATGATTATATGGGTATATAGATTAAACTGGCAATGTGGTACCCATATAGTTTTGCCTATAACGTCTTCCATCTCAACACATTGATTTTTAAAAAAATCTTTTACAGATTGCTATTGAACTTATTATAAGAATACTACATAGTTAGAACACTACACCTCCACAAAACAAGGATCTGTACAGCAACAGAGCAATATGATTATTTTTCCTCCCACCTAATTGTGCAAACAATTTAGATCCACCTTAAGTGAATGCTTTTATAATGCTAGTTCAGCTCAAATTTAACAATATTGATTTAAAATAGGCATGCATGTCCCTTTTGCTCTTTTTAAACAACGGAAAACAAATGTGTATTCTAAAAGGTCTCTTTTTAGAAAGGTCACAGTCAGAGGCTATTTCTATTTGCAAAAAAGCAAAGACATATATGCACCTACATACATCTTTATGATAAACTTGTTGCCATTATCTTTATGGTTAGGACAATTTCCAGAGTTTTATCATAATTGTTTTATATTGTGCAGACTGCCATGTGTCAAAATATAAAGGACCATGCTAGTAGTCTTTTCATTACCCATATTTTATGTTTCATTCGACATTGCTTTAATTTTATGTCCAATCTGTTTGTTCATTCAAAAGACACCCTGCCTGCCCATGTATTTTTCCATCCAGAGCATAGCTAGGCAAACCTGAAGGCACCCTCATCTGGCATTCCTTCCTCACTCTCTCCTTGAAGCTTCAAATATTTGTATCTTTCAGGAAAATCTCTCTTTCTCTCCCTCTCCCTACCTCTCAGCTTTTCTCCCTCATTCATCCTCACTCTCAACATTATTTCATTCTGTCTGCTTTGCCTATTTTGGAAATTACCTGCTTAATCTTTCCATTTTAACTGTCAGCATATTAATGCATTTTAAGAAAAGCTATGCTCTTAGATTTGAAAAATGTGAACGCCACATAGCAGGGACAACTACCAGCATGGAATATGGCATTATTTCTATTTTACCTCTTTTGAAGCTTTAACATCCCTCACATTTGTACATATGCCATTTCTTTCCTTAAGAAATAATACTGATCTACAGTATAATAAAACCTGTGCATTCACTCCAGCACTTGGCCAGGATGTAAAATAACAGACATGCATGAATTCCAATCAAATCCACAGGAAGAAGAGGGAGAAACTGCAGGAAATATCAGGTGCAAAAAACCATAAAGCTTGCCTTTTACCTTCCCATCATTACTTCTCTTTAACTTTGAAACTGACTGAAAGAGTCCCCAAGTCTTTTTTTTTTCCCTCTCAGGATGACGTAATGCTTATCAGTGCATATTTTTACATAAATCAGGCTGATGAGGAGACAGAGCAAGTCCCATTCTCATCTGCCATCAGAGGGGAAGGGTTGAGAAAATAGTTTCCAAACTACACATTCCATTTTTTAAAAAAAAAGTAATGTAACTTCTTAAAACAAAATTAAATTAAAATACACCAAGGGGAAAACGTTCCTCTGGCTCAGACCTTCCAGACCCTGAACATCCCTGCCTTTCATACAGATAGATGCAATGTGGAGGGGAGAAAAGAATCCTTCCTTTGCCACAGGAGTGATAGGAAAGGACATGGTTTTCTCCCTTTCATGAGAGAGAAAGATAGTGCACTGGCTGCCACATCCACAAGTTAAGTGGGTTTCAAGGAGGGTTACAGAGCCAGGTCTTCCTTCCTCCTGAAGCTCCTGAACCTCAAATGTTTGAAATACAATTTGTATGTGTATGTATGTGTATGTGTATGTACACAAACATACTCACACATATACACACTCATTTGTATTTAAAGTATTGGTGGTACAGTACAAAAGATATATATAGTTATATTCTCATTTGTATTCAAAGCATTTGTGGTATCAGAAGCATATATATATATATATGTGTGTGTGTGTGTGTGTGTGTGATAAATTCT